AAAAAAAGAATGAATGATTATCAGGTAAGTTTTTTTTTCTGATATCAATCAACAACAAAATTCATAATATTTATTACCTAAAATACGAATAACAAAAGCATGAATGAAAAAAAGTTACCGAGAAAAAGAAAAAACTTCATTGAAAATTGTTAGCTAGATGTTAGTAACGGTGTCGCCTCCGCTCCGCCTCTTCGTTGTTATTTATTTATTTTTATTTTAATTTTTCTGGTTCCGTGTTCTTTATAGAATAAAAGCTTTAAACAATAAGTAATTATTAATATAAGAAAAAAAAACTTTACACAATCATATACTTATGGAAAATATATATTGAAAAAAGTATAGAATATAGAGAAAAACAATGTTAATATAGAGAACTCAGTCTTTAAAATAGCAATGTAAATAAAATTATTTTCTAATTTAATAAACTGAAAAAATGCACGCGGCAAAAAGAATACAAGATTTAAGTTAAAAATATTTTCTATGAGTTTATTTAAAGGTTAAAATCAATGTATTTTTTTATGACAAACCTTTGGTAAGTTTCATTTTTGGACTTAATTAATTTAATGATCCTGGATTAATTTTATTAAACTCCAAATCAAATGTTACGAAAATTTCAATTTTGTATCATTTCCGTAATTTGGGAGATACAAGCATTTAAGACAAATCTCATAAATATAACGTGAAATTACATTTTCTTATCAGTAGCATAAATGTGCCTTTAATAGGTTGTTCAAAATTCTTGTAATTGTATTTTATACCCATATTACTTTTATTTTGTAAATTTGGTCCTTTTATTTGATCTTCGTTAATTAATCACTTTATTTGAATTTCATTGTTAAATTTTGCCCTACCTATAATAAACTTAACATATACTATTTAACAGAAATATAAAATATGATACAATAGTAATATGATGTGTCATTATGAATATAATAATGTAATAAAAATGAAGTTTTTTTTCTCTATTAATAACTAAATTTTGTAAGAAAAAGATTGATTCTCTACAAAACAATATAATATAATGCCATGTTTGTATCGTTGTTAAATATACTAGATATCATTAACGGATAGAATCTAGTTACATGATTAAAAAAAATTAACGAAAAGGTGAAAAAACTAAATTGAAAAGATAATAAAAATTAAAAACCAAAATGGAATGAGAAAAAAGCTTCAACATTTTCTTTATTAGCAGTATTGGGCATTATAAATTGGATCTTGTTGAACAGTTTTGTCCACAAGGAAATACTGATACTGCAAAACCACCGAGTAGTAGCCACAACCCTCTCAGAAATTTCAAAATCAAAATGCCAAATCGATATTTATCTATCTCTTAGCCATCACCATCCAAGTGTTCAACCTTAAACTCTCGTGCTCTCTCTCTTTCTCTCACTCACTCACTGCCTCTCTGTTTCAGTGTTTCTCTCCCCTGTTATCTCTGAACATTGAACGTGATTTTTGCTACTTTTTCGCTTGTGCATTTTTTCTTCCTTCACAGCTACCACTAGTAGATTCGGTGTTATTGGACTCTCCCACAAAACCCCTTTTGCAGCCACGTCTACAGAGTCAAACCCAACCCTTTTTTTTTTCTTTCCAAACCCAAGCACATAATTTTTCTCCACCCTGCTGAAAAAAAAAAGGCAAACTTTTTCGCTCACAATTCGGTTGAATTTTGGACCAAGATGGGTGCAGGAGATTACTACAAGATCCTCAAGGTGAACCGCAATGCCTCGGATGAAGAACTCAAGAGAGCATATAAGAGGTTGGCCATGAAGTGGCACCCAGATAAGAACCATCAGCACCACACTGTTACGAAAGAAGAAGCTGAGGCTAAGTTCAAGCAGGTTTCGGAGGCTTATGATGTTCTCAGCGACCCCAAGAAGCGCCAGATCTACGATTTTTATGGCCACTATCCCTTGAACTCTTTAAAGGTGAAGGGTGATGGGGGTGTTAGGGTCCCCAAGAACGAGAACGTTGGGGTGGTTGAGAGAAAATTGCTGTGCACGCTTGAGGAACTTTACAAAGGTTGCAAAAAGAAGTTGAAGATCTCAAGGACTATACATCATGAATTCGGGTAATATCCGTGTTTTCATCTTGCATTTCATGTCTTAATTCTTGCATTTGTGGTGGAGCTTGTGTGTGTTTGTAGTTTTAATTATTTTGCTGGGGAATATGCATGGTTGAATTGTTGTTTCGTTTCATGTTGCCTTAGAAATATTTTGTTTGGAGTTCATTTTCCTTATGAAGAGGAATTCATTTTAGTGCTTATGGGCTATATATGCCATGATGTTGATTGAAATTGTAATAATTCTGAAACTATCTAAACAAAACTTTCAGATATTTATTGGGATTACACTGTACTTGAATATGGATGAATTCTTGTACAACATTTGGCTCATGAATCTTATCATATCATAAAAGAATCCAAGACACAATTTCTGTATTATTTTGTAAATTACTGGACAATTTACATTTTACTCCTGACTTTGATTAATTCACTCTATTTGATCTATTAACATATTTTTCTTCTTATTTTGCTATTCCACTTCCGGTTGGCTGTTTTCTCTTTTGGCTATTCACTGACCAGGCCTGATAACACGTACACACACTTTAGCAGGCACGCATGCATACTTGTGTAGCCATATGTGGAGAAAGAAGATATCTTTTTATTATTTTGGGATTTGTGTTAGTCCTCTCACGTTATTTTAGTCATATATAGAAACAAAGTGAAATTATTAATTAGTAAGTTGCATAAAATATGTTGGTTTCGTAAAGATATTGGAGTTTAAGGTTTGTTTTGTGGTGAGTTGGTTAAGGTAATAGAAAGTGTTTCAAATATGGCCTATTTTCTATTACCTTTTACCATTTGAGACTGCTTGGAAATACGTGCTTTTGGGTTCACAAGTTTACTCTTTTTGGTGTCTGCAGTAAGTTGAAGACTGTGGAAGAGATACTGAAAATAGATATCAAACCTGGTTGGAAGAAAGGCACAAAAATAACATTTCCTGGGAAAGGCAACCAAGAAGCAGAAGCTAGTGCTGCTGATGATCTAATCTTTGTGGTGGATGAAAAACCACATGCTTTATTCAAGAGGGATGGAAATGATTTGGTTGTGACACAAAAAATCTTACTTGTAGAGGCTCTTGTGGGAAAGACTTTCAATTTAACAACCTTGGATGGAAGAGAGCTCACAATTCAAGTGACTGATGTTGTGAAACCAAAATTTGTGTTGGTGGTCCCAAATGAAGGAATGCCCATCTCAAAGGAACTTGGAAAGAAAGGAAACTTGAGAATCAAGTTTGATGTTATGTTCCCATCAAGGCTTACCACACAACAGAAGTATGAGCTGAAAAAGATTTTGAGCAACACTGATGACTAATTTAGTCTTTCATGTGTTGTGGTTTTTTCCCAATTAACACATGAGGTGAGAGCTCAGTTTACGGTGTAAATACTTAAAATACAACTTTAGTCTTAGACATGAAAAGTGTGCATAATACAAATAAACCAAGCATGTTACTACCATGTCTGCAGTGAGGTGTAACTTTGGAATAAAGCGATTTCAGCTGTTATAAGGGTCCTGGACTGTGTTCAATCAATATTAAAATGCATTATTGAATGGATGGGAATATTTACAGTCCTAATATGTTTATTCACCTTTTTTGTCTTTTCACTTTTTCCTTCTATTCATATTTAAATCTCGAATTAAATAACTTTTATCCTCTATAATTGTGTTTATTCATTTTAGTATTTGATGTTACCGTTTCTGCTAACAATGCCATCATTTATTAAAGACATCAACTTCAGTGAAATAAAAGGTCTTTTCCATCAAAAGAAGCTAAGCTAATTCAGAGATTTGCACGAGAAACACCACTACGACACTCTGCAATTGACATCAAGCCAAATAATATCATTAAATGAAAACAAGTAGCTAAATAGACAAATGGACAAAATCAAACCCAAACAAGAATGAATTATTTGAATGACCGTATTTATTTTTAGAACAGTCGGTAGCTATGATCTAAGGGAGAGATTTCTTCCACCAACCATACTCATTTAAGGAGTGAGCTTTATTGCAACAAAATTCAAGTTCTTGGTAGATTAAAACAATTAGACCACTTGCTTTTGAGTCTTTGGTTTCTGAATTGCTTTGCAAATTCTACAATGGAAGATATCATAGAGGAATTGATGGTATTTTCTGAGATGACCTTCCTAATGATTAGGGAGATAACATTCTGCACTGAAGGGACTGAGTTGTCCGAGTGTCTTGTATTACTGCAATCCCAAATGGCCCAAACATTTAAAGGTGATATTTTTTTACCAGCTTGAGGACAGAGAATAAGTATTTTCCTAAATGGATTATTGTTGATTTTTTATTGGAAAACTCTGAATCCAACTCCAAATGCTCTTAGAGAACAAAATAAGGAAAATATAATCAGTGATTTAATAATCATTTTGACAAAGGCTACACATAGAGGGGATGAAACAACCTCTCATTCAAAACTACTTGTTCATTGCTATGAAAATGACTAGTCTGAAGATATTTGCTTATAAGAATCTACATTCGTTTAACAGTGGCAGAGCATTTGGTCCCATGATATGTCTATCGATTTCTGCATTTACTTCATCAGAACTTTGAAAATAAATTCCTTTTTCTTTTTCTGAGAGAGGTGTGTTGTTTTGCTAATAATGTTGATTGTAATTGATACTGATAAAGTGTCAAATATCACTAACCAATCCAATGGATGTGACCTTTTAATACATATATATTATATAGAAATTGGATGCTTCAGAGCCCTTTTGTGTCGTTTATCATTCATGGCTTAAAATCAGCACCGACACATTACAAATTGCAAATAGGTCTAAATATTAAATTGTGATGTGAACATTAAACAATGACACTTGTTTTTATTTGAAATAATGGTACCAACTTATTCAGCATCCTATGAGTTGTTGGCTCTTCCTTTTGTTTATTTTTTCAAAAAAAAAAAACAGAAAATTGGACTAAACTAGAATACACGAGGGAACGAAACATGATGAGAAACATCCCCAAAGAAAGCATTCAAAACACTCAATATTCTCTGGTCGTGAGTATGAAAGATTGAGCCTAGCAAGAAGATCTGGTAAAAATATATGTTGAAGTGAACTTGCTGATTTTAGTTTAGTGCTTGATCACACATTCATTTTCTGTGTTGCTCAATCAACCTTTGTAGCTCCTCCTTTTTTACTCCCACCACTTTATCAGCCACTTTTCCTTTCTTAATTAGCATGAAAGTTGGCATTCCCTGTACTTGGAAAAGTTCTGCTACCCCCTGTTTTCACAATCCAAATCAGTTACCATAATAAGAGTAAACTTTTTATCAAAATTGACCTTGCATATAGATGATTTTAATCTTCATATTTTTAACATGTCATTACTTAGTTTCATCAATTTTTATGAACGAGGGATGAAATTTATACCAATTATATAAATATGAAAACCAAAATCATCATTTGTAAAATATAGAAACCTAGACAAAATTTTACCAAAAACTATCACATTTTACCCATAGGAGAGTTTATGTAATGCATGATTTTGAAATTAGGACCTAATGAGTTATAGTGAAAAGGACTGAGTGATCATACCATTAACTCATCCACATCAATCTTGACAAACTCAACATCTCTAAATGTGGCAGCAAACTCTTGGATAACTGGGTCCATGAGTTTGCAAGGTCTACACCACGAAGCAGTGAAATCAACCACCATCTGTATCAATGAAAAATTATCTAAGTAAAACCTTTGTATTTTTGGGGTGAAAAGTGAAGCAAAACATGATACACTAATTAACCAAAGGAAAGTTCCTGAACAAACCAGTTTGTTAGTTTGTTTCAAGGCATCAAAGTGGTCATTCCATTTAGCAGAGGAGTGAAAGGTGAGGACTTGAGATGGGAGTGAAGTTGTTCTACCACCATACACCATGGCCATGTCAGATAAGTCTGATCCCACCTAGGTTAATGCTTCCTTTCTTCTAAACCAAAATATTGACTTATGACCCTGTATGAATCGAAGTTAATAAGTTGAAAAAAAAGAAGAGGTTCTTTGTTTTTGATGATGGAAAATTAAAGTGGAGGGAGAGGCTTATATATAGAGTAACAAAGTAGTGGGAAACTATGATATGATTTCTTTGAAACGTATCAGATTCTTGTGTTTGTGGCAAGCTGTAAATTGGACCCTCAAAGCTAGCAAGTTCAGGGACACAATGGAGAGCATAAGTACCTGCAAAAAATGGATGGTCCCAACATCATTCTCATCCCATGATGTTAACATGAAAGTACAGCTTACCTCTTTCAAATTCTCATTTTTTGGTTGTTAAGGTTTCTTTTTCTAGACAGAAGTTTATCCTCGTATGCAATAAGCTTCCCAAAAGTACACACATTCATGATTGGCTAAACCAGGAAATTAACAAGTGAGGTTTCTTCAGAAAGATCAAGCAAACGTTTTGGAATTCAATAATGGTGAATAAGAACAAATCTATACTTCAATCTCTATTGTAATTAAGTGTGGTGTTTTAGTTTTAATGTAAAGACACTCAAATTATCACATCATTTTCAATCTTATAAACTTTCACCTTTATTTTTCTGGTTGAATATTCCGTTATTAACTAAGGATTAAAACCGGAACTTGTATGCAAAACATTAATGGTGTAACATTTTTTACATTCAAGAATCACTTTTAGAGTGCTTTCTAATTAATTAACAAAGTAAAATATTTATATGCTTGATACATTATAACAATTACTGATTTTCAATTGGTACTTCAAATTAATAAACTAACAAATATAACTTTAAATATATTAGTTATCCTTGTGATTAAACCATGTCTAATTAAGATTTAATATTGTCGATTAAAAAAACTGACATCCTACCCAATTGCTAGTTGCTGACAAGGTAACTTGAAAAAAAGAAACTCAACACTAAAAAGTATACCAAAACAACATAATGACAAAGATAATATATATAAAGACCAGAATGGAAAAATAAAAACTATGATCAGAAGTAAAATATAAAAATTATTAGCACAGTTAATTGTATTGATGATTGTGTAACTTAACAGTGACGAAAGATGAAGCATCTTGGATTCAGCTGGAAGGGTGTGAGTTTGATGCTGTGAAAGAGTTGTGATGATAATGGAACATAAACATAAGTACAAAAACAAACTTTTTATCTCTCTCTGCAACTTCGCCAAAAAAAGAATCATAAAACGTACACAATTTGCTGTCATTTATGAATAACCAATTGCACTAACGTCTTTCTATCGTCTTCTAATTCTTTTTACGTTTTCTTTACTATTTCAAATGATTCAATCTGTCATGACGCGGTGTTCTGACACAAGCTGCTCCTTTTTCTCCTATTTATTATAAACTAGGAAATGGTAATCGTATGAAAAAAATAAGTATCATTGTTCTTTATTTTATTGAGCTTTCTTTTTAATTATACTATGAAACATCCATTGTACACTACTTTATGCTATCAATAGAACTTCTCTGTATAATAAATAAGTCATATTATCTCATTTATTTCCTTGTAAGACACAATAAAGACCAATCGCTTTTTAAAGGCTCAGGGAAAAAAAAAAATTAAAACAAAACCCATCCAAGAAAATGACAAATTACTATACCCACCTTTCAAAACCTAAATTTTTCTAAGCCTTTAAAAAAACTGCATCCGTCAGATCCCCCACCCCGAAGAGTAATCTTTTATATTGGGCCACAACTAAGAAATATAACAAACTTAAAAAATAAAGAAAAGCATATCTTACACGAATGGTTCAAAGCTGTGATTATAAAGTGTAATACAAACCAACTGAAAAAAAAAATCAACAATAGGTCATTGGCAAGGGTTTCCTCTAAAATAAATATTATTTTCATGTAGCAAAATAGATTATAAAAGAATGCAACCATCCAAGCACTTTGAAAACCTAGCCAAGTGTAGGAAGGCATCCAAATGTTATTGGTAAAAGAAGAATAAAAAGAAGTCGCTGACACATTTTTCCATCTATTGAGAAAATGAGTAGAAAGTCTTATTGGTTGAGATTCATATTTCACTTCCTTGGATCATCATTTCTATGTAATCTATTATATATGTAACATTCTTCATGCAAAATAATATATATTTTACGTTTACTACTTCCCCGAAGGTGAATCAAATCAAATGCATATTTTACTATACAAATTCTAGATTTATTAGCTTTCAACACTCACCCAAACTATAATGCCATCCTCCATTTGTTTTGGATCCTTTTTAATTAAAAATAAAAATAATAAAAAAAAACAAAAAAAAATAAAAAACTAACAAAATAATTATTTAAAATTATTTTTAAATCATCTTAAAAATTAAAATAATTATAAATTTAAAAAATACAACAAAAAAAAAATTTAAATAAAAAACATTTTATCTTAAAAAAAAAACTAAAAAAAAAAAAAAAAATTAAAAAAATTAAAAAAAAAAAAAAAAAAAAAAAACAAAACATCAACAACAAATTTATTTAAAGACCCCAAAATGCATTCATTATGTTTCCCACAAAAAAAAAATACCATGATTACATCATATAATAAATGTCCATCTCCTCATTTTTTCTTTTTTTCTCTTTATTAAAATCTCGTAAGTGCTTGCTGCCAAAAGTGTGCTTAAGATAAATATATGAAATTATATGAACCTTAGTCCAAGCATGACATTTGATCTACACCTAAGGTGCCAAATTACATGTGAAGATAACATAGGAAATAGATTCAATCTCAGAGAAGCAAAAAGGACGCTTCTAATCATTGGGATGGCTAAAGCGGTATAAGATATCTTTTACCTGTGTTTAGAGGAAGGATTTCAACAATTTCAAATTTTAAAAATATGTATTTTAAAATTAAAATTTAGAAAAAGTATTAGTTAAATTTAAATATTAAAATAATGCTTAACTAATTAATTCTTTTGATATGTACACGTGTATAATGTGTATAGAGAGTAAAGTTGTCAATTTAGTCCAATCCATAGAACTTTGCTTTCGTTCATATAGATTTGAGTCAAAAACATTCCCAAAAATTTTAAAAAAACTTCCACATAAAAGATCTTACAAAGATCAAAAGCCGCCAAAATAATCAACTTAGTGTTGAAGTTGATGTCGAGTCAATCTGAACCGAAGATTAAGTTGAGATGACTAAGGACGAAGTTTGAACCAAGTCAATCGGGTTGAAGAATCAGTCCGAGCCTCAAGCCAAGTCGATCGGGCCAAAGGTTGAGCAGAGTCAACCTGATCAAATGTCAAGTCGAGTTGATATAGTCGAATGACAAGCTGAGTCAGCTTAGGCCAAAGGTCAACCCAAATTGATCGTGCCAAAGAATTAAGTTGAGTCACCCAAACCAAAGGTTGAGGCAAGTTGCCTTAAAGGTCAAGCCTATATGACTCGGGTTAAAGGTCGAGCCAAGCTAGACCATGGTGAAGGTAGAGTTGAGCCAACCCAAGCCACCAAAGGTCGAGTCAAGTTGGTTGAGACGAAGAATTAAGCTTAGTCGGTTGAGCAAAAGGTCGAGCCAAATTAGACCAAGTCGAATGTTGAGCCTTTCTAACTCTAGCTGAATGGGCCAAATTTTGAGCCAAGTCGGCTTGGGGAAAAGGTCAATTAGAGTTGATGGGACAAAAAGTCAAGTCAAGTTTGCTTAGGTGAAGCTCGACTCAAGTCAGTTGAGTCGAAGAATTAACTTTAGTCAGCCTAGACCAAAGATTAAGACAAGTCAAAGCAGATTAAAGGTTAACTTAAGTTAGCCCGAGTGAAGGTTGACCCTAGTCAGTTTGAGTCAAAAAGTCGACTCGAGTCATTTGGGTTGAAGAATCGAGTCAATTCAATTTAAGCAGAAGATCGAACCAAGTTAGTTTGGGAAAAATGGCCTAAGCTGAAGGTCAAGTTGAGTCGATTGAAGGTCGACTCGAGTCGACATGATCGAACTAAGTTGCTCTAATAGAAGGTTGACTTGAGTTGATCCAATGGACTAATAAAAAGAGAGCTTATTTTGAAATGAGGGAGTCAAGAGTGTAGCCATGCAAATTAACACACTTTTATGTTGTATTACTATTATAATCGTAATATATATGAGAAATGGTGTGTAGAGAACATTCTCATAGAGTTAAGAGTGTGTGTGTGTGTTATGTTATATTATTGTTATAATCATAATTGATATGAGAGATGGTGTGTAGAAAACATTCTCATAAGAGTATAATTTTGAAAAATTGAAGTGTGCGAGAGTTTTTAAAAAGAAGATAATACTATAATATTTTAATAGTAATAGGTTTGAACTAAAATTAATTTTCTGATAATTGAAGTTCATTTTTATAAAATTATGATCTCTTTAAAACCTTCGTTCTTTACTTTCTCTTTACTCTCTCTCTAAATTCCTAACCACAATCTACATCCTTTTGAAAATCAAGAACCATAGGATTCTTTTTAGCTAGGAGCTCTACGCACCCATCCGATCAAAGAGTCGATCATAGTAAGTTCTCTTTTCACCCTTTTTTAGGTGTTTTAGCTCTTTGGGTTACAGGTTATAAGGCTAGGGATGCGACTCAAAGGTGCTCTTGGTGAATCTTTGTTGTCATATTATTTTAATGACATGCTTAGGTCTCCTATTTGGGTCTTTATTAGTCAGTTAGGTGATCTTATGGTGTTTAGAGCTCTAAGGAGCATGAGAGTGAGAAAGGCGTTTTGCCTTAAGTGAGGGAAGCTAATTTTTTCTCTTTCTTGAACTTTGGTTGGTTGGTTGCATT